GCATTCAGGTGGAGGCGGGATAGCCTCTCAGGATCGCATAAGGGCTTGCAACACCATACTTTAGTTGCCACTGAGTCTGAGTGCAGACCCCCTCGCATAGCAACCCAGACGCGATTAAGTGGTTGTTGATGCGTTTTGCGAGACAACGGGACGTCAGTGCCCCTTAGGATGGCCTCTGGTGGGAAGCCCCACTGCAGAGCTCACCGATGTGCTCCCGACTGTGTCTCCCAACCATTCTGGGCCTCAGTTTCCTCATCGGTGAGTGAGGATAACAACGGTACTGTTAAGGGTTGCAGGGAGAGTAAAGGAGAGGGTGCACAGGGGGCTTCGTGTGTGACACATGACACATGCTTCATCGGTGTTAACAGTTGTCCTCAACATTGGCATTGTAGTTCTTGCTGGGGGACCTGGGTCTGAGAGAGCTGGGTCCTCTGATGCACCCTCTGGCTCTATGGGGTCAGTCTCAACCGTCCCTGGCTCCCAGCCTTGCTCCTGGCCTACACTTCCCCTGTTGGAGGGAGGCGCTCCTGCCCCAGAAGCTCTGTCCCACAGGCAGGTCAGCTGGACGGTAGGGCCACACTGGCGGGGCTCGACAGCCTGGCCTTAGCCAGGGTTCACCCGGCCGGGCCCTTGAAGGCACCGTCCACCCCGAATTCCGAGGTGTCATTCTCCTGGCCCAGCCAGCGACAGTCTCCTTTATTCCCTAAACTAACTAGAGTCTGAGATCTGGGCCTGTGCTGCCCACCCCCAGAGGCCGCGGGTTCTGGCTGGCGGGGGTCGCTGCCTGCTCTCAGCTTGTGCAGACGAAACTCAGGCCGAGCAGCCTTTCTGCTCCTACTCCTTCCACTGGCCTCCCCCCTCCAGGAAAGGGCCAGGCGGACTCGTCAGCTGTGCTTCTGCTGTGAGGCCCTCGTGAGGTGGCTTGCCGCAGGCTGTCCCCTGCACCCGGGAGACCCCACCTGTGGCCTCTTCACACAGCGCAGGTGGAGGACCGTCCCTAACCCTGGGCCGGGGCGGGAAGCCCCGAAATGAACTCGGAAGGGATTGTCAGGTCCAACCCTGTCATTTCAGAGATGGGAGACTGAGGTCAGAGAGGGGAAGTGTCTCACATTTCAAGCACGCTGGCTGAGGGGGACACGCCCCCCTACTTCACCCCTGGCAAAAAGTCACTATAGAGTAGTCTCAATCGTTCATCAATTGTGCCTTTTCATTGGAGAGCTTTCTTCTATTGAGAGGGCAGAATCTCCACGCGGCGTTCTTTCTGGAACAGGGCATTTTAGCAGATTTTACCTTCGACAGGAGGGAAAATGTGGCAGCCCCAAGTTCCTGCACTTCTGCTCTTGGACTTGGGGAGCAAGGATGCTGAGAAGCCTCATCTCTCTGGGGAGGGTCCTTGGGAAGACGAGTGTAAGTAAGGGATGCAGGGAGCAGGCTGCTGGGCCCCCAGGAGAGGAAGGGTGGGCCCTCTGGCTCCCTCTAAGGCCTCTTGCCCATCCCTGGCCTGGATGACCGTAAATCGGGAAGCTGTGAGAACCTGGAACATGTAAAACCTGAGCTGCTGACTCAGCAAGAGTTAGAGACCATTTGCACACTATTGCTGGGGTGACTGAGCTCTGTGTGGCTCGAAGTTAACAAGGGCAGCCCCTCTTCCCGACCCACACCTCCTATATCTCTCCTTCCGCTGCCCCCCACGCTTGCCTGAGCACTTACTGTTTTTCAGACCTGTAATGACCACCCTTCTATGTTCCTCATATTAAGCCCCAGGAACTTAAAGATGAAGCGAGGCTGTAGCTCCTTGGAAAGTCAGGCCTGTGGCTTGTAGGTGGGTCGGTGTTTGGAGAGCATCACCCAAAGATAAGCCCATCAATGCTCCCAATTTGGACAGAGGAACCCCCCCCACCAAACTAGATCCATCTTGCTGTGCCTGTTTGCATGACCTATTTTTCTGGCTACAAACAGCTAGCATTACCTGTTCTAAACATCTGGAATTACCTGCCTGCTTAGTCACCTTCCCTCTGGCTTCAAACAGCTGCAGGGTCCCACCCCCTCTCCACCTCCTGTCCATCCCTCCCTCCCTTTTTTCTTCCTGGAAGGATCTGGAGGTACCAGATCCACAAGTTCCGATGCCTTTAAAAGGATCAGCCTGGGAAATAAGGCTCATTTGAGAGCTGTGACGTTCACCTTGACTCTAGTGAAAGTCCAACAGCCAGTCCCCTTTTGGCCTCCAACCGGGCACCATGAGGGCCTGCGTGCCCTTGATAGTGGCCATGCTCTGCAGCCTGGCCTGGGCTGGTAAGTCGTTATCTGGTGGGGGTGAAAAGCATCCTGCCTAGAGAAACAGAGAGGTAGGGAACTTGGTAGAAAGTGAGGGTAGTGGGACAAGAGAGGGTCAGCTCTGTTCTACAGCCATGGAGCATCTTAGACCTGTCCCTGTTGGAGTATAGGAGTGATCTCTGGGGTGAAGGGGACTGTGTAAAGGGGGCTGCAGGGCTGATGGACTAATGTCATGACTTGACTCTTGTCACTCATGACTTGTCACTTCTTGACTCTTTGGAAGACCAGCTCCAAACATCTCTTAGTCCAACCTGACTTGTGATCTCACCAAGGTTTTGTCTGCGGACTCACTATGTGATATAAGGCTGGGGCTGGGGCTGGGGCCTGCTGGGTTTGAGTGGCCTCGTTGCCTTTGGTCACTGGCTCCACTGCCTGGGGTTGGGTGATGTTGTCTGGGAGCGGGGGGGGGGGGGGGGGGGGGGGGGGACGGCGACTGGAAAAGCCCCTGACCAGGAGGTGGGCCATGTGCTCTCCCAGCTGTACAAGTGGTCAGAGGAATGAATGGCTCTTTGACCCAGTGTCAGAGGGACCAGAGCACAGAGAAGGGTCCCGCCTGCGGTTACTAAGCGGTGCGGTGCTGGAGGTGGGACCGCAGCTTCCTGCCTGGTAGCTGTGCAAAATGCCGATGCCGATGTGTTAATTGACGGTTAATGGGTGAGTAGGAACGAGTGCCAAGGGAGGGGGCCGAGCTGAGAGGTGTGTGGGGAATTCTCCCCTGCCGGAGGAGAAAGAATCAGAGCTTGATATCCATCCCACCCAACCCAGGTTGTTCCTATATAGGGTTGTTGTAAGGATTAAGATAATGTATAAGAAGTACCTTACGCGGAGTGAGATCTCAATGAACTGGGTTTTAAAGAAAATTTTAATGTTTATTTATTTTAGAGAGAGAGAAAGAGAGAGCAGGGGAGGGGCAGAGAGAGAGGGAGGGAGACACAGAATCCAAAGCAGGCTCCAGGCTCTGAGCTGTCAGCACAGAGCCCGATGCTGGGGCTGGAATTCACGAACCGTGAGATCATGACCTGAGCCGAAGTCGGTGGCTGAACTGGCTGAGCCACCCAGGTGCCTCCAATGAACTGGGGTTTTGGTTATGATTATGCTTATAAATATTCCTGGGCAAAACTCCCTCTTGGCGTCCTTTCCAGTCAGGTTATGTCTAAGGAGACCCCTAGCGGGATGCCCAAGTGGAAAAGGTTTGGAGGAGAAAGCTATTCCCAGGCTCCCTGCACCGGGACAGACCGCCTCTACTCTGGCACCCACAGCAGAACAGCTGGGAGTCAGCTCTGTCTGGGCCCTGGGTGGTGGACAGCCAATAAGGGAGGGCATGAGACCTTTTAGCTTAGCGTGAAGGAGTGGCCGCTGGGTTGGCACATCCCAGTCTCAGGAGAGGAGAGCGGCTTGAGACATTTGGTCCCCGGGTGGACACCCCTGAGGGCAGAGGCAACAGTGGCTTCTGAAGTGCAGGTGGACCCCTGAGTCTGGGATGGTGATCTGATCTGGCCATGGGGTGGATGGGGAGGTGAGGAGGGGCCAGTGGGCGATGCCTTCTTTCCTAAGGTGGGAGGGAAGAGGCTCTGCTCTTGTCTTTCCTGGTTCCAACATCTCAGAACTGAGATTCAAGAGTGTGAATCAGATGAAGGAGTCACTGCCGGCCTCAGGACCTTGGTTGTTTCAAGTGAACTGAGGTAGGAAGCTGGTCCTAGAAATGAATCTTCTTGGTTGACTAGGTCTCCAGGGAAACAGCATCTGGGGCTCCTGGACAGGCATGGATGTAGGATGCCCCAATCATCAGAGGGCCTAATATAATAGGGACATTCAGACTTGGGACCAGACTCTCTTGGTGGGCAGCATGGATAGGGAGGGGGCATTCTGGCATACTGAAGTCTTGAAGAGTGCAGAGAAATTTAACATTTCATGGGAGAGGAGGAGAGGGGGATGGAGGGAAAACCTGAGATAGAAAAGGCCAAAACGAAGAAAGGCAGAGGCTCGGAGAGACGAGGCAGAAGGGCAAGGGACAGATGGTTGCTGAAGCAGTGACTGCACCTGACCAGTGGGTGAGGCACACAAAGAGCCTTGTGTGGCCCGGAGGCACAGGGTGGGGATGCTGGAGTGAGGAGTCAGGGTGACTAGTCCACTGAGTGTCCCCAGGACAGCATAGCAAGGCGCCTGTGAGGAAAAGTCCCTCCTACCTCCCCCCCCCCAAATCCTCAGGTCATCTGGAAGAAGACCAAGTTTACAGGGAACCCCTGGAAGGGGGTTCTTACTGGGGACAAAGCTCTTGAACAGAAATGAAAAAGTCCCCGCAGCCAGGGCCAGTGGGGGGTGTTCTGAGCTCCCCAGAACAGACTATTCACTTGGGGCCTTCTCAACTGGTGCCAGCTGCTGGAAAGAAGTGAATTCTCTCCTTGGACTCTGCTGATCTGGCCCATTGTAAATGTTGCCCTGATTTGTCTGGATTTTCTCCCTTTGGATTCTGGGTGTACTGCCAGGCTGACCGAGCGGGCAGCTGACCAAGCCTTCCTCCTGGCCTAAAAATTTCTCCTTAAGATCTCTGCATTGGGGCTCCAAGGGAGCATCATTTAGATTCAAGAGGACTTCCCCTGAGCCCCAAGGGACCAGTAGCCTTGGACCTGGTTGTTTTTTTTTAATTTTTTTTTTTTAATGTTTATTTATTTTTGAGACAGAGACAGACAGAGCATGAACGGGGGAGGGTCAGAGAGAGAGGGAGACACAGAATCTGAAACAGGCTCCAGGCTTTGAGCCGTCAGCACAGAGCCCGATGAGGGGCTCGAACTCACGGACCGCAAGATCATGACCTGAGCCGAAGTCGGCGGCTCAACCGACTGAGCCACCCAGGCGACCCGGGCCTGGTTGTTTTTAAGGACAGTCCATCGGATCAAAGGCCTGCCTTTCCTGGCCACATTGGAGGCCCTGTGCGCAACTTGAGTCTGCCTCAGGATCTGGTTAACCTTGACCTGACACCTCTTTGAGGTAAAGAACACAGGCTCACAGCGATGACGTCACCGTCAGCAACATAAATGCACCGACACCCCAGCCCAAGGGATGGCCCAGCTGAAACGCGGGGAGGGAGTCAGCTAGATTACGTATGTCGACAGGGAAGACTGCTCCAGCCTGTCTGAACACTTGCCACGTTGAAGGTGGGCATGGAATATTGTCACTGTGCATTTATCGAACACACGCGGCCACTACGTGTCACGTGCTGTCTAGTGCTTTACCGGTATCCACCCATTTCATTCTTACAAATATTCTATGAGATGGTCTCCATCGTTATGACCCCTTCACAGATAGGGAAACTGAGGCACAGATGGTCAAATAACTTGCCCAAGATCTTGTAGCTGGAAAGTCAAAGAACCAGAATTCCAGCTTCCTGCCATTTGGGCACCGGGTCCGGTTTCTCAACCTCCCTGCCATTCCCCCCTCATTAGCACAGGATATACCCGCCTCCCGGACCCCAAACCAGTAACTGAATCCATATCCCTAATATTCACCTCCCACCTCCCACCCACTGCAGGCTTAAATTGAGACACCGTACCTGTGTGCAGTCACAACCGGACCCAAACCCCACATCTAATCTGAGGCAAAACTGGGATAATTTCCCTTCTCCTGATCCTGACACATTCTTCGACTCTGAAGCCGTCTTAAACCCATCCCCCACATTCCTCACCCAAACGTCGAGACAAAATTGTTACTTTTATCAACAAATGTAACTCCAGCCCAAATCCCGGCGGTAGCTCTTCGTCTCAACCTAGCCTAATCCCAACTGTGGCCCAAGTGAGGTTTCCGTTTCCGAGTTCATTCAAATTCCGATGCTAACAGTCACCCTGACTCTGATCTTGACCTCCTCCGTAGCCCACAGCCTGGCCCCCAAGCACAGCCTTCGCTAAATCCAAACCTCAGGAACCTCAAGTGGAAACAGAGACTCTGTAATTACCCTTAAAGCGCAAAGTGGAAGGAAGGGGCCCCCAAGGCCAGCTGTCACCCTGGTGGGGCTTGCGTCTTTAGGAGTGGTAGTGGGTTTGTGCCATTGCTTTCAAGACTTTTTTGTCTCACGCCCTTCGTGACTGAAAATTTGCTTCTGCAAAAGTCATCTGGCCGGAGTAGCGATGTGGCCTGCGGTTCCATCACAGAGCCTATTCCAGAACCCAGATCTCATCCGTACCCTCCTCGTACCCACCCCACCCCCAGCATGAACTAATTCAAACACATTCCAAAGGCTAGCAGAAACGGAAAGCTGGGACCCAGGGGGAAACAGGGTGTGGGGAAGACCCGGACGAAGGGGAGCAAAGAACAAAGCAGCAGAAGACATAAAAGGGGCGAGATGAGAGGAAGGGGGTGGCAGAGGGGAGAGGGCAGGTGGGATCCCTGGGGCGGCAGTGACTCGCCTTCGTCCGCATGACGGGTGAAGGGTGGCCTGTGAGTCACGACCAGCCCATGGACCATTTTCTTTGGTCTGCCTGACTTTTTTCTTTTCTTTTTTTTTTAAATCGGGAAATTTCACCTAAAAATGAAGGCTTCTCTTGAAAAACTGGAGGCTCTGGCAACACCGAGCCTGCGTCCCGACATGGCAGCAAGTGACTGGAGCTGAGAGTGGCTGCCGATTTCAGGCAGAGCATCCCTGCCAAGTTTGTCACGGTCCCCACCTCTTCCTACTGCCCGCCCCACCCCTGCTTCTTTACCTGCTTGTACTAGCGGTCTGGTCTCAATAGGCACTTGAGTTTGTGAGCCTCATCTGTGTTACGAGCCCTGCAATACACAGTGGGTGGTAGGCGGTGAGGACGAGGCTTATGTCATGCTCGGGAGGCTACGCGTGTATCTCTCCCTTGCAGATAGCAATGATCTTCCCTGCTTCCCCGTCTGCAAACCCTACTGCAGGGGGCACCTGGATGAGGAGAATAGGAGCCTCACAGCACTGAGTTTGTGACCTTCACTGTCCACAGGAAAAATGGAGTCATGTGCGTCTCGCTGTAATGAGAAATTTAACCGGGATGCTGCTTGCCAGTGTGACCGCCGGTGTCCCCGGCACGGGGACTGCTGTGAAGACTATGACCAGCTGTGTACCGGTGAGGCTCCTTGAGGAGTGAGGGCTCTGGGAGGCACAGCACGCCAGGCCAAGTCCAGGCGCATGCCCAGCCTGCCTGAAGGGACGCTGGCTTGGGCATCCAGCGGTTCATCGCGGGGTTCAAGACTGATGACAGGGCTCAAAGGGCCCGAATGGGGACACTGAGGCACAGAGCAAGGGTCAGGGATTTGGCCACTATTCGTCCCAGGTATTTTAGGACGTCCCCATTGTAAAACCCCAACGTAAAGGAAAATAGATAGCATTTACCTGGAGTATATGTCTGAACTGTCAGGATTAACAGTCCTATCTGGGAAGTTTAAGTAATTCCCCCAACAGCAAAATGACAGCAAATGTTAATATAGTGTGAATTACGTTACCGATTGTTATTCAACACGTTAAATCGCAGAAGTGTAATAATGGTATCGAACTTCCCGATGCTCAAGCCACCGGGAAGACTGCGCATGTCACAGTACTGTTGTGACTCACTCTACTTGTCCCATAATGAGTGGACCCAGTGGCTGCAACATCTCCAATCTGTCATTCCCTGCCTAGCGATTGAACAGGACACGCACCACCCTCAAAAGCCAATTGTTTCTCTGCTATGCTAACAACATAGTTTTCAAGGAATCGTTTGAAAAAAGAATTTTGAATAATTCCCCTGCTTGGGTGCCTCCAATGTTGTAGAGCACCAGATAAATGGTCTTCTGCTTTGTGACACAAAGCCTTGCTAAGTTCACTGCCAAACCATGTGCCCTGCTTCTCAGTTTGGTAAACGTGATCACTGAAGCCAATGGTAGGTAATGGCCAGCAAGACCACCGCATACGGTTGTGCAGGTTGTGCACTGCACAAGGCCACCTGGCTGAGAAGGCAAGCTGGACCAAAATTGAATCGATACCCTTCTTGCTGAGCCATGTGCCCTGATGAAGAGCTCGGTCTGCCGAGAGGAAGGAGTACCTTTTCCTAATTTTCCCGAAGTAAATTCTGGTATCTGCTGACCTGGCCATGTGTTCACTGAGCTGCTTCCACCCTGAAGGAACCCTTGTTCAATTTACACAAAAACACCACCAGCAGAAGTTCTGCTGATCAGGCCCAGGTAGGGAAACCCAGGTCCGGAGCTCACTGCCAGAATCAGAGCCTGCCCTTTTCCCCTACCTTGTGCCCTATTCAGGAGACACAGGAGAGCCCGTTCACCTTGGACCATCAGGCTGGCATTTCACAGCAGAGACAATACTTGGCTTTGGAGCCAGTCCATCTCCAAGTCTCTGATTTGCAACGCAGAATCCTTTCCCCACAGAAAAAAAAAATATAGACGATGCTCACGCTCCAGACTCTAAATCAGCCCTTGAAAGTCCATTTAGCGTAACATTGGCTGCGTCAAGAACCCTGCGGATTGTCAGCACTTAGAACACGCAGCCTGGCGCAAAGTAAGTGATCAGAAGATATCGATTGGCTGAATCAATCAGCCGACCCACGGTTCTGATGGTAATAACACAACACTTTCCAGAAAGCTCACTAACAGATTCTGAAGTACTTTGTAATAGTGTTGCTTCTTTGGGGCAAATTAGCGCCTGGGAGAGGAGCTCAGAGTCCCCTGGAGTAGCCTTCCTCCTCCTCCCCACCCCGCACTCCGCCCACCCTGCTCTGCCCAGAGCCGGGCTGCAGTCACACAGCCTGCAGGCCAGGGAATAGGGCAGCATTAAGAACGTGCGTTTCTGCACACGCCCTCCCCCCAGACAGTCTCTGTGGCCACTGCCAAGTGTTGTAAAGAAAGAAGGGAAGTTGGTATCTCAGCAAACAGTTCTCCGTCCTGGAGGGCCTGGGTGGAGTTCACCCTTGACTCTGACGGGGAGTTGTTATAGGTAAGGGATGTTCTAAGTGAGTGAGGCCCTTGTCATTTGGAGAATGTCAAGCCTGTCTATCTACCAACTTAGACTAAAGAAAAGTCATATGAAAATCAGAGTTTTCAGCCCAGAAGGCACCACCTCTGCCACCCCTCCCCTTTACACAGATGAGCAAATACAAATAGATCTCCCGCTTCAGCCGATCCCGCCGAATACCTGAATGCTAACGTGGCAAGCAAGAGTTGTCCCCTGCGGAGATTCCTTTCGCTTTTTATACAGTCTGCAGCCATTTTCAGTCTGTCTCCTTCTTCATGTGGGCCTTACCCCCTGCGCCTCAGCCCCTGTTTTGTATTCTCTGCTGCTGCACTGCTTGTCCCTGAGGTTGGGGGATCTGAGAACCGAGATAAAGGGAAGGGACCCCACGGGGGTGGTTGGTGACTTTCTTTCTCTGACCTATAGTGGAAGAGGACCCCAACAAGCCAGAGCCATTCCTGGAGCTGGAGGAAGAGACAGAGGCCCCAGCGAGCCGTAAGTTGGCCTTCCTAAAGCGGGGCCCTCAGGCCAGAGGAGGGGGGACATGAAAGGGTGACAAGGAGGGGTCAGCCATCTCGGTGGCCACAGGCCCAGGCCTAAGCCAGATGGACACCCCCCCCCCCCAACCCAGCACCTGGAGGTGGTGAGAGGGCTGGCCTCTGCAGCCTGGGCTGCAGGCAGGAAGGGAGTCTGAGGCCTACAGAGGGAAGGGGGAAGAGATTTTATTTTTAGAGTGGGAAGATTATAAAAACAACAGGCCAGAAAGTAGAGTTCGGCCTCTCTGAAAGGGCTTCCGGACTGTGAAGGGTGTGCACCAACTTAGCTTGTTTGTTTTCCTTCCCTGGAGATCTGGAATAGGAGTGCACGAGGGCGAGGGCGAGGCTGGGGGGTTGGAGAGGGCGAACTGGCCGTCGGATGGAGGGGCGCCCTCTAGTGGTCCGCCGCGGACACGCGCGCACACGCAGATACACACACAGACACACACACACAGACACACACACACACACACACACACACACACACACACACACACACCCGCCCTCCCCTGTTTTCTCAGACTTGTACTCGGCGCCCAGCTCCTGCCGGGACCGCTGCCAGGAGGCCTTCGACAGGCACCAACCATGCCACTGTGATGCCCGCTGCCCAGAGTTTGGGAACTGCTGCGAGGATTTCGAGAGCCTGTGTGGCCACGGTCAGTCTCCTGCTCCCTTTAGCACAGCCCCAGAGACGGAGGAACTCTCCAGAGCAGTGGTTGTCCAGGGGGTGGTCCCTGGACCCCGCAGCAGCAGGAACACCTGAGGATTTATTAGAAATGCAAACTCTGGGGCTTCCCCCAGACCCACTTTCAGAAACTCTGGGGGTGGGGCCCCCTGACCTGTTTTAGCAAGCCTTCCAGGGGATTCTGGTGCATGCCCAAGTTTGAGAACCTCCCCAGAGGAGGGGGCGGTGTGGACACTGTGTGGACATTCTGTGGGCAAGGCCACGTGCTGATTTTAAGTATCCTTTGGGCCCCAGACCCCTGCCCTCCAACCACGAGGGTGACCCATGCGGCCTGTCTCCCTGGCTGCCGGCTTCTGGAAGTTGCCCAAGAGAGGGGGCGCGCAGATCACTGCCTCCCCCACCGGGCCTGCCTTGGGCTGAGATACCCCTCCCGAATTCCTTCTAGAGGGCTTCTCCTACAGCAGTGACGCCATAACCAATGAGGAACTGCAGAGCATCTCTGAGAAGATCTACAGGGCAGACACCAACAAAGCCCAGAAGGAAGATGTCATTATTAACAGCCAAAACCGCATCTCGCCCTCGGAGACCAGAGACCAAGTGGACTGCTGCCCAGAGCCGTGAGTTCTCGTCACTCCTCTTCCAGCAAAGTCCCCCCTACCCGCTCCCACCCCGGCTTTGCTTCCTTCCCTGCCCCCGTTCTTCTCTCCTCAAGGCGGGAAGGATCAAAGGTTGAGGAAAAAAAAAAAAGGTCTCCAGAGACAAATAAAGTCGTCTTGAGGGACTGTGGGTGTCCCGTTGGGAGGGTTGCTGTGATTGGGCTGACCTTCCAAGAGCTGAAGGGGAAGAAAAGAGTGACCTCACGTACACCCTTGGAGAATGTCTCGAGTCCCCGCTCTGCTCCCCAACCCAACCCTCCCCTGCCTGCCCTGGCCTGTCTGGCAGTTCCCGTGGGGGTTTTTTTGCTCCATGTTCGGCCTCTCACTGGGCCTCCCTCTGCCTTCCCCAGGCTCTTCACATATGTCAACGAGAAGCTGTTTTCCAAGCCGACCTACGCCGCATTCATCAACCTCCTCAACAACTACCAGCGGGCCACGGGCCGTGGGGAGCACTTCAGTGCCCAGCAGCTGGCCGAGCAGGATGCCTTCCTCAGAGAGGTCATGAAGACCGCGGTCATGAAGGAACTCTATGCCTTCCTCCATCACCAGAGTGAGTGAGCCTCCCCAGGCCCCAGGAGGTGGTGCTGAGGAGGCGGGTGTCTGCAGGAGAGCCTGCCAGCCCTGGTGCTCCATGGTGGGGAGGCAAAAAGAGCAGGTGGGGACCGTGTAGTGGCCAGTGGATGCCTGTGAGGGGTTAGGGAAGGGGCCAGCAAGGAGCCCAGGACAGACCGTGGCCCTGAGGGGCTGAAGAAGGCCTCTGTCTGGCTTGGAGGTCGCCTCTCTTTTTGATCTACCCTTAGCTGCCTCATTTATCCCCGCCACTCACTGCTTCAGTCTCAGGGTCTCTGCAGGATGGGGAGTCACCCCACTCCACCCCACCGCAGCCGCTCCCAGGGGCAGCGCCACTTTCTGGGCACGTAGGGTCCCTGATTCTCCTCCCTCCTTTTTCTGGGGAAACAGCAACAGAAAATCACCAAAAGTTCAGAGAGGGACGTTCTCCCGGGAGGGGTTCTGTTTGGAGCGGCTCCAGGCAGGGACACATTTGAATCAGACCAAAAAAAGGTTTGAGCCGCAGGACTTTTTGGCATGGGGTTGTGTTTGTTAGGGTCGTGCAGATGCCTCTCGTGAACTCCAGGCAGCTGGGCTCTGCCTCGTGGCCAGCTCTGTCCAGGTCTTTCCCCTGCCTCAGAGCCTCTGCGTTCCACCTGCCCACCTTCCCTTAAGAGTGAGTGACACGCATTTTTAGGTAAAGCCGGTGACACACAAGTAATCCCTGTGAAGAGGGCGCGAGCCGGCACCGCCCCCTGGTGCTCCTCTGCAGTAAACACAGGAGAGAGTCTTGGAGGTCAAGGCAGCCCTCCAGCTTGTCAGAGGAGGGAAGCGGAGGCTCACACAGGCTAGGTGACCTGTCTGAGACCATGAGGGACGTTGCGAGTTCTCTGGGACTCAGGGATTCGATACTGGGGCCAGGCTGTTCCACTACTTATCCTGTCCTCACCTCTCTCCCTGTCCAAATCCAGACCGTCCTTCCAGGTCTAGCTCACATCCCACATTGCTGAAGCTGCACCTGCCCCAGCTCACTGCTGGCTTTCAGCACCTCCTCAGAGGTCAAGGGTTTGGGTGGGTGGGGGGGCGGCGGTGGGGTAGCCCCAAATCGCCTTGGGCCGGAGAGACCGTGACACTTGTCGGGCAAATGATCTTCCCTGTTTGAGCCTTATCTGTGAAATGGGGTCTCGGCAGATTAATGCATGTAAAGCACCGAGGGGAAAACCGAGCACCGGGTAAGTGGTAGCCTTTCAGATGGTGAAGCCATTGTCTTATTTCATGTGTATTCTTTCTTGTTTTCCGGCTGTGCTTTAAGTCCTTGAAAGGACAAAAGATGTCTGGTACCTCTTTGGTAGCCTCCAGCACACAATTCTGGGCGGCAGGCAGTCGATATCTGATGGCTCCCTAAATTAGAGCTCCAGCCCCAACTTTTCCCCGCTGCCTCTCTGACGTCTCACGTGGCTCTCATGGCATCCACTCAGAACTTAGTGGGGAGAGAACTCACGCTTCCCACCTCTTCTTCCAGACCTCCTTCCTCGGGTTGCGCCATCCCATCAGTGACACCACAGCTTATCCCAATGCTCAGGCCCAAACCCCGGGAATTATAGTCAGTTCTTCTCTTTACTTCACAGCTCCTCACCTCCAACTGCCCCATCAGTAATGTCCAGCACATCCTCCTTCAGGATCTATCTCCCTGCTTCTCACCCTTCCTCCATGGCTGTCACCGCGGTTTCAGACCTGGACAAGGCGTTAGCCTCAAAACTGGTGTCCCTGCTGGCTTTTTACATATACTGCCAGAGTGAGCCTTTGAAAACAAAGCTATCGCATAATTTCCCTGCTTAAAACCTTTCGGTGGCTCTTTGTCCTCTCAGAAGCTATAAAAGAGTCGAGAGACCAGTTGCCGTAGGTAACGATCACGTGGGCTCACGGGCCATGTTTACCGGTCATTAACTGTGTGATCTTGTGTGAGTTACATAGCCTAGATCTGCCTCGATTTCCTCATTTCTAAATTGGGGATAATTAGTATCAACCTTATGTGAACCGTCAGTGTGCGGACTGAAAGCACTTAAAACATTTCAGGCACATAGAACGCACTCGGTACGTCTAAAATATTTTTGTATGATTACTTTTTGGCTGACACCCAGCTTTCTTGCCATGGCTTGTGTGGGGGGCCGCTGCCTACCTCTCAGACTGCCTCTCCTACCACTCTCCCCTGCAGCCCCCTATGCTCTGGCCACACTGACTTTTTCTTCGCTCTGAACATGAAGCCCAAGTCATCTTAGAGCCTTGTACCTGCTGGTCCCTCTACGTGGAAGAATCTTTCCCCCTGGTTTCACATGGCTGACTCCTTCAGGTCTCTGATTAGTGCTACCTTCTCTGAGAAGCCTTTCTGATCTTCTTTTCTAGAAGAGCCCCCTACACCCACCCCACCTCCAGTCATCATGGGATGCTCTGCTTTATTTTCTTTATGGCACTTTTTAAAAAATTTTTTTTAAATGTTTATTTATTTTTGAGACAGAGAGACAGAGCATGAACGGGGGAGGGTCAGAGAGAGGGAGACACAGAATCCGAAACAGGCTCCAGGCTCTGAGCTGTCAGCACAGAGCCCGACACGGGGCTCAAACTCCCAAACCGTGAGATCATGACCTGAGCCGAAGTCGACTGCTTAACCGACTGAGCCACCCAGGCGCCCCCATGGCACTTATTTTCAATCATATTGTTTAATATTTGTCTCTTCACTGGAACGGAAACCATGAAGGCAAGGATCTTGTCCTTGCCTTTCCCTGCTGGATCCTCAGCCTTTATCTGGCTTGGCACAGAACAGAAGCACTGTGCATAGTTATTGAATACACAACTGAATACATATTTGATGGTTGAGCCCGTGTGTCTCTTGATGTGCTGGAGCAGGCGACCCTTCCCTGCTTCCCAGGACCTGGTCCCACCTTCTCCTCTCCTAAGTCCTCCGTGTTCCTCTCCGCAGACCGCTACAGCTCGGAACAAGAGTTTGTCAGTGACTTGAAGAACATGTGGTTTGGGCTCTATTCAAGAGGCAATGGAGAGGAAGACTCAAGTGGCTTTGAACATGTCTTCTCAGGTGAGATTATTCTGCTTGGAAAGAAAGAGTTGGAGGAATGAAGAGAGCTTCCCGCAGGAGTAGGACGGCATTGGGCACTGATGAATCGGCAGCCAAGCCAGCTAACGGGGAGGGACACGTCTGAGGAGCTGTTTTTGAAGAACGGTCTCTTCTGGAGTATCTGGAGAGGAAAGGAGACCAGATACTGGGGCTCCCCAAGGGCACACATAGGAAGGGAGATGTGTTTGGGGGGTATGACCGTCTACCTCTGGGTGGTCCTCTGCTTTCCAAGAGGGCCATGGGCTTTCTCCTCACTGTCCCACCCCATGAAGCTCCCACCAGGTTTGGCTTACTCCTGGAGAAATGGCTGAGAGGGGTATCCAGATTGATCACCAGGGCCAGCCAGGAGGAGGAACCCTCCCAAGAGCTTGAGCTGAAAGGGTTGGGGGGGAGGCTTTCCTAGGTGAGAGTTAGGGATGTGTGGGATGCTGGGAAGTCAGGGCAAGGGACTGAGCAGGTGTGTATGCTACAAGCCAAAGCCTGAAGAAGGGGGACAGCCTCGGCATGGGAGGGGCCGTAGGGGTTGGAGGGGAGGCCCAGATCACCCACCTTGAACTCTTTATTATAGGTGAAGTCAAAAAAGGCAAAGTCACTGGCTTCCATAACTGGATCCGCTTCTACATGCAAGAGAAGGAGGGCCTGGTTGACTATTACAGTCACATCTATGACGGCCCTGTGAGTACTGAGTGATGACCCCAAGAGCTGAAGAAGCCTTATGAGTAGTCAGACTTCCTGCCCTCACTCTGCACTCCAAATAGCCAGACTTGCCTCTCACCGTGACTCTCATTGGCCACCTAGTGGGGATTGTGAATATGACTTCCTTATCTGCTGGAGGGCACGTCTAGGCAGCTGGGACCCCGAGATCCCCTTCTAAACACTGAAGGCTCCAGACTGCAGAGGGCAGGAGGCAGACAGCGCCATCTCTGGATGCGAGGCTGAGGGGAGGGGAGGATTCTCAGGGCGGGAAAGACCGCTCTCAAAGATGTGCCATTACCCCCTGCCTGAATTTCCTTAGAAGGTGGCCTTGGCTGGAAGTTTCACCCTGGCTAGTCTGAGTTCAACCCCTTACATTTTATAAAAAAGAAATCTTTGCTGCCCTGTGCCAGGAAATAATTTGGGGGCAATACATTGTCCTCCTCCTCCACATGTAATGGCCACAAGAAACAGAGCTCCGGCTGTCAGTCACAGGAATGTTGGCTCTGGCCTCCCTGGGAGATGCACACTGGCAGCTCCAGACGGAGGGTGCCGACACCTTAGCGGGCCAGACTGTCTCCTTGGTCGACGTGAAGAAGCCAGCCTCCCCAGAAAACTCAGACGGGCCATCGCCAAATCTTGGCCGGCTGCTATCGTTTGCCACGTCTCTGTCAGACCCCACTCTGCGGTATTCACCAGGCCCTCTCTGCTCCTCTCCACAGTGGGATTCTTACCCCGACGTGTTAGCCATGCAGTTCAACTGGGACGGCTACTACAAGGAAGTGGGCTCAGCCTTCATCGGCAGCAGCCCTGAGTTTGAGTTTGCGCTCTACTCCCTGTGCTTCATTGCCAGGCCCGGCAAAGCGTAAGTACTGGGCCGGCCAGGCCCGGGGAGCAGGCTGGGGCCACACGTCATCCTCAGCCAGGACCGTCGGGAGAGCTGGGTTCTGTGACTCCGTGGCTCGGACAAATCACCCTTCTGGACCTCGGTTTTCTCACTTGTGAAATGGAGTTGTTAGATAAGACTGGTGGTTGCCAGGGACACCTGAGCGGCTCAGTCGGTTAAGCGTCTGATTTCTGATTTCAGCTCAGGTCATGACCTCACGATTCGTGGGATTGAGCCCCACATTAGGCTCTGCACTGACAGTGAGCAGCCTGTTTAGGATTCTCTCTCTCTCTCTCTCTCTCTCTCTCTCTCTGCCCCTACCTGCTAATGCACATGCGTGCTCTCTCTCAAAATAAATAAATCAACATTAAAAAAAAAAAAGACTGGTGGTTGCCAAACTTTACCTTAGCAGCAGAACCACCATGTGAAATCTTATGCAGAACCTTCCTATATAAAACAGTGAGGGGCGCCTGGGTGGCTCAGTCGATTAAGTGTCTGACTTTGGCTCAGGTCAGGATCTCAAGGCTTGTGGATTAGGGCCCTGTGTCGGGCTCTGTGCTGACAGCTTGGAGCCTGGAGCCTGCTTTGGAGTCGTTGTCTCCCTCTCTGTCTGCCCCTCCTCTGCTCTCTCTCTCTCTCTCTCAAAAATAAACATTAAAAAAAATAAAACAGTGAGAAAATGGAGCTGCCCTGGCACCCTGAGCCTCTCTCTTTGGCCCCCAAGGCTCCTAGTGGGAACCTGACATCCCAGAGAGTATAGCTAGAAACCACGGGGCCCCATGCATTCCAACATTTGAGGATTTGGGGTCCTACTACTTCTAAAACCCTAACAAGACATTTCATTTCTGGGGGGTTCAGCCCTAGAGTCTGAGATTTTAGAATAATACTGTTCTGGAGGAGATGAGGAGCAGTGTTCTTTAAGAAGATAGAAAATAAGGCACAGATTTTGAAGGGCTGCTTGTGCTGGAGGTAGTGGCTGAAATAAAGCTGTGGCAGGTCTCTTAAAGGCTGTTCAAGTCCGGGTGGAGCCCTTCTGCATGGGTCGGGCTTGATCTTCCTAGGCAGGGGATGGGTGTGGAGAGATGTGATGGGCCCCTCTGACTTGGCCGTCTTTCCCCACAGGTGCCAGTTAAGCCTGGGTGGATACCCCTTGGCCATCCAGACCTATACGTGGGACAAGTCCACCTATGGAAATGGCAAGAAATACATCGCCACAGCCTATGTGGTATCTTCCACCCAATAGAGCTTGGAGCCAGACAGGGGCATGAGGACAGTGGGAGCTCTTGCAAGACTCAGGTGCTATCTGCTCTGGGCTGGAGGAGGATGGGGAAGACTGGAGGGGGGATTCCCAAGTCTAAAAATGCCCTTATGGGAAAGAGGGAAAAGAAACAAGTAAGAAAAATGCAGAGAAACTGTCAAATCTTTGTGCTGTAGCATTTTGGAAATAGAGTCCAGACAGAGATGGGAGCCTTCCACAGCCCTTTGCCCTGATGGATACAAGTCCTTGACGTCTCTAGGCCTCATGTTTCCTTTGAATGTAAAGGGAAGGAGTTTTCCCCCTTTCCTTTTTGGGTAGGTTGGTGAGAGGGCAAACCTGACGGTATCGTTACCGTGAAGGTGTTTTCAATTGTTCTTAAGAAGAACAGCAGATAAAAATTTAAGGTCACTGTAACGGCTGTTATCGTACACAGCTTTGCAAACTGAAGTTCAGCCCTATGTCGGGGCCTCAAAGGACTCTGGTCATGGAAATTAAGCAGTGGCCGTTTGGTCTTTTCTAGGGTTATATCCTCTCAGAACAGGGTCTGGGAGAACGCTGATGCCTGATGGAGAGGATAATGGGTTGGCACTGTGAGTGAACCTGGGAGGGAGTGAACTTCTCCGGGCCTGGGTGTTTTTGCAGCCAGCTCAGTGCCTGCATCAAGAAGCATTCTACTTGTTTAGTGCAGGTGCAGAGGTGTATTTTGACCCCACATATTTTGTGAAAGAGTTCCCCAAATGGGAAGAAGACTTTGCATCAGAAGAAAGGAATTTACAGCTTGGTGGCATTAACAGTTATTTTAAGGGCTTATCCAGCAGCCATCGTTTTACTGTGGAATTAAAGACCAGGGAGAATGGGACTCCCTCTTCCAACCTCAGTTACGCATTTCTCCCTGACCTCAGGGAGAACCAGATACTGTCTCACGGAACTAGGTTTGAATGATGGTTTACAGCGTTCGAGTCTCCAATTAAAGTCATTAAGAAAACCTGAAATCTGTCCCTTCTTTGTATGTGACCCCACCCAAGCGTCTGTCTCCCTCCCTGCCTTTTCCCTGGAGCAGGGCTGGGAGCGATGCTGCTGGCTTCAGTGTCTCTTCAGGATGGTGTGGGAATGCGGTATCTCGAAGTCCTTGAGGACTCACCAAGTCTCTCTAGCCAACGGGGGAAGGGAGTTCTTCCTGGTGGATTTGTAACGGGAAGAGTGGAAGGAGTGTACTTATGGCTTCTGGTTCCACATATAAGGAGCCTTGAAGTTACTACTTCATCCTACCAACAAATACAAAGCTGAACAGACTGAAATAGCAACAGCTCTTCTTGGATCTGGAAGAGAGGAGAGGACACAGGCAAACAGATGTCCTTAGGATTGGAAAGTCAGGCAAATAAAGATTGGAATAAGTTTGGAAAGACAGCTTACTGGGGTGGAGACTCTCAGGCAGAAACCATTGCAGAAGGCAGTGACAAGACAGGAAAATCTGAACTGCAACTGATGAATTGCCTGATGGAGAGGCGGTACAGACTACTCTGAGAGTTAAAAACTCCAGGAACCCAGTCACAGGGGGATGCCACAGTATTGTGAGATTTACCTCTTGGAGTTCCGCCAGGTCCCATAGAGTGTATCAGAGAGAAACCCCCTTGGGCTTCTGGCATAGGGAGGAGAGGTGGAATCATTTTGAAATAACTAGAGCACTCTGTCCTTAACAAAGGCTGCCTTTGGGGGAAACTTGTTAGCCACAGGCTAACCTGCTGAAATATTATTAGAGCCTAACTGATCTGGGGAAGGGAAATACCCAAATCAACCCACTTTAGCCATCCTCTCACACACAAAGGGGGAGAAAAAAACCTTCTGAGAAACACTTGTGAAATTCTCAATCCAGAGGCACAGGCTCACTAAAAGACTCAGCCACAATCATTGTAGGACGTTTCCCCTCTCCCCACACCTCAGCACCACGTTACTAAAGGCCTATTTACCAAGCCTGGCAATCAGCAAGGCATACCAAAAGGTGAAGTAACATAATTTGAAGCTATAGGGCAAACATCAGAAACAGACATGGCAGGGATGTTGGAATCATCAGATAAGGAATTTAAAGCAACTGATTAATATGTTAAGGGCTATAATAAATAAAGTAGACAGCATGCAAGAACTGATGGGCAAAATGTAAGCAGAGAAATGGAAAGCCTAAGAAAGAACCAAAAAGAAATTCTAGAGATGAAAACACTGTAACGGAAATGAAGAATACCTTTGATGGGCTTATTAGCAGACTGGACACATTTGAGGAGAGAATGAGGAGAGAATCTCTGAGCTTGAGGATAGCTCAAAAGAATCCCCAAAACCAAAATGCAAGAGAACAAAGGCTGAAAAACATCCAAGACAAATATCCAAGGTCTGTAGGACAACTACAAAAGGTGTAACATACACATAATGAGAATACCAGAAGGAGAAGAAAGGGAGAAAGGAACAAAAGAAATATTTGAAACAATAATGACTGAGAATTTCCCCCAATTAATGACAGACATCACCAGAGATCCAGAAATTTCAGAAAACACCAAGCAGAATAAATGTCAAAAAAACCCCAACTCTACTTTGACATATCATATTCAAATTATAGAAAATCAAACATAAAGAAAAATTGTGAAAGAAGCCGGGGGTGGGGGGAATCTTACCTACAGAGGAACAAAGATAAGAATTACATCTGATTTCCCCTCAGAAACCATGCAATCCAGAAGAGAATGATGTGAAATATTTAAAATGTTGACAGGAAAAAACCCACCAGCCTAGAATTCTGGACCCTGAAAAATTATTCTTCAAAATGGAAGGAGAGATAAAGACTGTCTTTTTTTTTTTTTTTTT